TACATACATGTACACGTACATAGTAGAATAACTACATACATGTACACGTACGCATACATAGTAGAATAACTACATACATTTACACGTACGCATACACAGTAGAATAACTACATACATGTACACGTACAGAGTAGAATAACTACATACATGTACATATACACAGTAGAATAACTATATACATGTACATACTACATGCACATAGTAGAATAGCTATATACACATGTACGCTGTGCAGCATAACTACACACGTTTCACGCGCGTCGCACGTTCACTTGTTGTTTCACGCGCGTCGCACGTTCACTTGTTGTTTCACGCGCGTCGCACGTTCACTTGTTGTTTCACGCGCGTCGCACGTTCACTTGTTGTTTCACGCGCGTCGCACGTTCACTTGTTGTTTGCAGGTGAGCCACGGCTCGGGGGCGACCCTCGATACCTCCCACGACCATGCCGCACTCACCGCACTGCGCGCTCTCGCTGACATGTGCCTCGACGCTTCCCCCGTCGCCGCCGACAACCCGCCGCCGCTGACGACGATGCTCACGGTGGCGCCACCTGTCAACCTCGCGGCGGGAGACGGGAGCCATCTCGTCGTCGGTCAGCTGGAGAAACAACCGGCGGCGGCAGCGGCGGTCGCTGCAGCGGAGCCCGGCGCCCAGTAGGGGGCGCCGCGGAACGACCTTGTTGAGACTCGCCGGGGCCCGGCGCTAGAGGGCGCCATGGCGGAGGCGCGCCGGGGGCGGCCCTCGCCAGATGGCGTCGGCGGTCGGAGGACGTGCGCGGGGGAGGAAGCGAGGGAGAGGGAATCTTCCTTTGTTCTCCCGGTGCGGAAGCTCTCCCGCCCCCTTCCCCCAGGGACGCTTCCCTCCCGGATCGCGCACGGCGGCCGACGCTGCGTCGGCGCCCGTCTATCGGCGTGGACCCCGACGGAGTTGAGTGGAGCTTTCGTTAGGATTTGCGCGTGAAGATGAAGACAACTTGTGGGATGCTGCGCGTGTGGGCAGGGCGCGTCGCGATGCCGAGAGAGGAAAAGAAAGAGGAGGAGGAGGAGGAGGGAGGAGCGCTGCATTATCTCTTCCCCTTTCCTTCCTTCCTCTCTCCCTCCCTCCCTCCGTTCGCCACGTCATGCGTGTGATAGGGAGGAAACGAAGGAGGAGGAGGAGGAGGGAGGAGCACTGCGTTATCTCTCTCCCTTCCTTCCTTCCTCTCTCCCTCCCTCCCTCCGTTCGCCACGTTGTGCGTGTGATAGGGAGGAAATGAAGGAGGAGGAGGAGGAAGGAGGAGCGACTGCATTATGCTCTCTCCTTTCTTCCTCTCTCCTCATCCTCCTCTCCGTTTGCCACGTCGGTGCGTGTGATACCCTTGGAGGCAAATGAAGGAGAGAGGAGGAGGAAGGAAGAGCGCTGGGGCCTTATCTCTTCCACTTTACATTCCTTTCCTCTCATCCGTCCCTCCCTCTAAGCCTCGCCGGTCTCGCACGAGCACGGTATTTGTGCGTCGTGATATGGGAACGGAAAAGAAGGATGGAGGGGAGGAAAGAGGAGCGCTGCGTTATCTCTCTCCCTTTCGCCTTCCTTCCTCTCCCGCTTCCGTGTCGAGCGGCGGCCTGCGCCGCATAGCTTCGGCGGCCTACTCGCAGCGGCGCCGCTCTGAGTGGCGATCGTCCTCTGGATCCGTCGTGCGTGTATGCCCGCTAGGGGTCGCCACTCGCTGCTCTCGTTTCACGGCGACACGGCGGACCTGATCTGGTGCTTGCATTGTCAGTGGCCCCCTAGGCGCCAACGTTGAGCGGGAATCACAGAAGGGGCTGTTCGGCCGACCGGTTTGGTTTTAGTCGCACTGCGTTGTCATCTTCATGCTCACAGCTTCATGCTCATCCTCGCGATACCGATGTCTATATACAATATATATATGTTGGTGTATCTATGATACTACATATGATTATACATAGTATACTATATATATATATATGTAATAGTATATAGAAATAATATATATATATATGCAGAAGTGAGATAATCACCGAGAAGCGCAGTGTCAGAGGCTTCAATAAAGCACAGGGAAATTGGCGTGGGGATTCTTATTAGCCTATAGAATACCGTTACGATTTTACTTGACGCGTATCAGGGAGTCGCAACCACTTGAGCTCAAAAGCTGTAACACAGTACATTCGGCCTCTAGCTGCGTGTGATAATCGTTTCTCCGGTATACACCACGCAATCTGGGAGATACAGGACTAAAACGTAGCGAGCACGACGGTTATCGCATTTCTGGTTTGCCTAGCGAAACCGAATGTTAAGCGCGTGTCTAAGCTGTTGAAACAAAAGGCAGCTACTGCCGAGCCACACGCATCGCCTNGTGGCGATTCCCATATTTGCCTCATGGTGGCGCCACAATCTGCGGTCTGCACCCGTCTGCGGATTCGGTTCGGCGGATGTTCGGAGATGTTCCGTTGTTTTGTTTTGTTTTAAATCCGGGTTCAGCCAGTCGACCTTCGTGCGATGGCGTTGCCAGCAGCAACGAAGGAAATGTGGGTATCGCACGAGTGGACGTAGACTGCACCTGGTTTAATTTCGCAAGGTTTTATCGCGTACCGCGAGTGCGCGCGTATTTAAGCGGCGTCAGTCTCGCGTCGCGACATGAAGTCGACTGTTTCAGCGCGCGGCGCGGACCGCGACGTTCACTTGTTTTTTACGAGCGGCGGTACACGGGTGTGGACGCGCGCGCGCACGCTCGCGCGAGTTTGTTTTGTTTTCGCGAAAAACAATTGAACGTCGCTCGGCGAGGCGGAGATTGTTAATTTGTGCCACAGATTGCTTTTTGCTGCCGGGGAATTTTTTGCATGTCGGTTTACTTAACGCGTTCCCCGGAAAACCCATGGCTGCGCGAACCGCACGACCGAGCGTAGGTGGCCCCACCTGGTGTCATGTATTCCGCCGTGCGTGCGAATAAACGGCAGTCACAGTTTTCTGGTACTCCTGTCGTCTTCTCGTCGTTTTATTCATGTTCCTCGATAGCATCTTGTAGCTTTAATTAATTAAAATAATTAAATTAATCGCTTTGATCGAACGTTTGATTTGTTTGGGGAAAGTAAAGAGGTACCAGTCGCCCAACCGAAAACGCTATATGTATCCGATGTTAAAAATTATGTTAAATGCAATATTTCTCAAAACGAATACAGAAATTATAATAACAAATACAATTAATACAAGAATATACCATGTTATGTTCTAGCAGTAAAAATGCATGCACAGGTTTTCATTATACCGCCGTGCAGTATAGTGTAGACGGACGCAAGGGCATAAAGTAGGTGTTTTCTACCCTACATGCTAGGGCGCTCTCCTAATTATAAACAGGTCTACCGATAAAAGGTCCTTTGGTCTCTATCCCTGCTACAACAAGATTTGCTACGACCAGTTAACGATCCGGATAGAGATCTTTCATACAATCAATAACGTGAAAAAAATACTATCGATTTGCTAAATACGTCAGTATGCGGCTTAATTATTGAGCACGCTTTAAAAATTATTTAGCCGAGAGATGGCAGCACTGGGTCACATTTGGCTACAAATGTGTTGGTGGTCTTGTAACCTGTATGATACAGGCGGTATGTTTCGCTTCACTACACTATCTAGTAGCGAAGCGGAACCGGAACCGCCTGTATCATACAGGTTAGTGGTCTTGTAGTCTAGTTACCGTTAGGGTAACTTACCGTTACCTGTGCGCGTGCATGTGAGCGCGTGCGTGCGTGCCTGCGCGCGTGCTTGCGCGTGCGTGCCCGCATGCGTGCGGGTGTGCCTGCGGGCGTGCCTACGTAGACCCGTAGGACCAACGACCCGTATTATAGAACGGTAATCCATGGAAAATCCTAATGAAATTCACACGTATATTTTTCCCTGTCGGCACACTCGTGTGTCATTCCCGATTGTAGCTTTTTTGTCAATTACCCGAAAGAGTTTTGCTGTCGCTCTCTCATAGTCCAGCAATGCCAACCCTCTACATTTTAGTAGTGATTAGTACCACGCTGAAACAATCGTGCCCCCCTCCCGTACTTCAATCAATGCCGCCCCTGCCAGCAGGCACGTACGCAGCGTCGATGTGCACAGCCATACACACGTGCCTCGCGGGCCGCTTTCTCAAACCCCCTGAACTTCCTTGGCTCTTACGCGGGCCCTGGACCCCAGCCGCAAGAGACTTCGTGTATAAACAATCGATCTTCCTCGCTCGTACAGGCAGACACTCTAGCCGTAATAGTTCTGTGTTTAGCTGAACTTGTGATGTATTCACTATTCAAGGTGCATTGTGGTTGTGACTTGTGAGTTGTGATTATCATGTTAGTCTGTCAGTCTGATGAATAACGGTCTTGAATATTGACTGAATGTTCTTTGTTTTGTCTGTACAAGCTTTCTAAATTGGTGGGTGTGTGTGTGTCTGTGTGTGTGTCTGTGTGTCTGTGTGTGTGTGTGTGTGTGTGTGCGTGCGTGCGTGCGACGTGTGTGTGGTGTGCGCGCCCCCGCGAGTGTGTATTAGCTACTGTGCTTGTGTGTACATTTGAGGAAACATCCCTGGAAAAAATTCGCCCTGGAAAGTGGAAAAAGAGCCCTGGAAAATGAAAAAGTAACCCCCGATATTTTGGGGGGGTTTGCAAAAAGAGCCCCGGAAAGAAAAAAATTAATTTTTTCACTGGACCAAACCTAGTATTATCTCTGTACACTTTCATTTCAAATATTAATTAGTGGGAAAAAATCCAATATTTGTTTCAAAATATTAATTTTGTCATGATATTATTTTTCAGTTGAAGCTGAAGCAACAGTGAACCTGGATATTCATGATTTTGTGGCCGTGCGCGTAAAGGGGGCCGGGAAAAGGGCATCAGACCAATTGTTTGTTGCAAAGGTAAGCCTGTTGTTGTTGGCGTTGCCATCATCATCATAATAATCAATAAAGAAATAAAATAAAAAAATAGAATGCAAAATATTATAACAAATATTTTCAAAAATAAGTAAACATCAAACAAACAAAACAACCTTATTTTAAAATCAACTGCAAATGTACTATATAAATGTGATTTCCTCTAACTTGCTGAGAAGGCTCAACAAAGTGTGCTTATGCCTTTACATTTCGCAGGTTGTCTCCAAGCATGACGAACAATATGGTGTCTTACATGATCAAGCAAAACCATCTTTACACTTGGCCTACAGGAGAAGAACAAGTCTTCATTCACCCCAAAGAAGATTTAATCGCTAAATTGGATTCACCCAAAATTGTGATGATGGGGAGCAGGCTTCTGTTTAATATAGATATAAAGAAGGCTGAAGTGGCGTTCCATAAAGCTTGAGCATAATGTATTATGTAGTTGCTATGGAGCACAATTAAACATGACTTGCTAGAACTGTTTTTCATTTCATTTACTACACTCATTGTTTTGTATAGATCTGTAGTTTAGAATAGACCACTTTACTAATGTATTCAATTTTTATGCATACTTCCTTCACGAAGGTTACCCATGACAACCCCAATGCTTGCCTGAGGTTTACCTGAAGCTTGCCTGACGTAGGAACAACTAATGTACGCAAAACAAATTAAACAATAGAAACATACTTGAAACAAGTAGGTGAACGAAATAGCTCATCACTAGGCGTTTGGGCCAGAAACATCCATGAATATCAATACATTAATTAGTAAACTGGTCTGTTAGCTATAGGCCTAACCATGCAAGATACACCTATGATTTAGGAATGTGGGCATGAGAAGATAGAACTATAAATACACTTCTTATAATCATATTTGTTGTTTGAGCTTATGCATACATAGAGCGTGGATATAGCTCTTTACAGTTATTTTTCATTATATTTTCATACATGTAACGTCCGTAACAACTTTAATTACAGTAATTAGACAATACAGGAGTGTTAATTTCAAACTTGCTATTCATGTTTATATAGAATGGGGACAAACCTACATCAACATAGTTATTAAAACAAACTAAAGGAAGTAACTTCACAGAGTTTTACTAATATGTACCAAATGTAAAAAAGTCATGTCACAATGCGTAACATCCGTAACGCTCGTTTCTTATGATTGTAGCTAATTAATCAATTAAGCTAAAACAAAGTTGTTGTACTATGTTAAACACCAGAGTGCATACTACAAGTATAAGAGAAAATAAACTGTTCTTTCAACTGCAAGTTAGTTTGTTTATCTATTGAAAGTTGCAAGTTGCATGTAAACGTAACGTCCGTAACGGTGGAATTGGCCATAACATCAAATAAACAAAGTTTCATGAGTAAATGGTTGGCTACATCGCCAATAAAAAACTATGTACATGTACATCCCTGCAGGAAAACACCAAGCCATAAACCGCGATGACAAACTCTCTAGAAGGGTCTGGCAGGTGGCATGGCGGCTGTGAATCGGGGCGCACCTAAGATGGTTGCTATTATGGCTCCAGATTGCTGCAGCTGCATAACAGTTGCTTCCATGGAGGCCATACCGCTTTTCAACAACTTTCGTCTTCAACAAGATCGAAAGCATAGCGCACTGAGGGTGCAGCAACATTCAGTTTCTGCATTATTTCGTGCTTAGCCTCTTCTGTGAAATCCGTGGCCTTTGCAGCCAGTCTCCAGAATTTAGTGGCCATGTCTCGCGTCTCCTTGAGTTTCTTGGCTGTCGCAACTCCAGCGATGGTTTGGCTGAATTTCACTGACCACACAAGGTGCTCTACTCGATAGTCCCTCCACTCTAGAGGGATTATCGAAATGGCACTCGGAAACTGCAGTGTGAGAGGCAGGTGCATGGTCCTCTCCAGATATTGGTAGGCATCAGGTGATGTGCGCAACAGGTTTAGTAGCGTCATCCCCATGATGTCGGGGTGGGCTGCCGCAATTCTACCGAAAGTCAGGGTCTCTGATCCTGTGTCGTCAGTCTTACCAGCTTCAATGTTGTAGAGCCTGGCCAGTTCTATAACCCTAGAACCGTCTTTCATCGTCCTCGTGTTGTTAATGGCCTTCGTGCCGCGGACCAAGATGATGATACAAATTTGTGTCAGATCCCTCTCGACCCTGCTGGAAGCACGCCTAGTCAGCACATTCTCGTCAAGCTCACCAGGAGAAGCCGCAAGTTCCATTTCGTAGGCCTTTCTCCTGAAGACGCTCCTGATCGTTGCAGAGGAGTATCCATTGAACCTGGCCTGCGCAACCAAATCAGCCATGAATGATTGATGAAGTTGGAAACTTCTATGGGGGTCTGGAGCCATGCCCCCCAGAAAATTTTAAAGCTCTGAGATGCAATCTAGAGCCATTTCAGGGTACTCCAATAGCTTACAACTAGCAACACTTTTTGGTGGAAAAGGAAAAAATTATGTAAAATTTACCTACTGTAAAATTTTGATGGGCACTGGGGAATTCCGTCTGTGTTGAGTGTGTCCAAAGTAAATGTATTTTGTAGACATACAAGCTACACGTATACTCTATATACGTATACTCTATATAGCTATATACGTTAGCTCGTATACGTAGGGAAGCTTTTATTTAGCTACACCCTGTATAAAATGTATATAGTTTTTCCAAACGTTAAAAACAATATGACACGGTTAAACCTGAGTGGTGCGACGAGGCTGTACTGCTGTTTGCAATACGATGTGCTTTGCAGCTACAGTGACTTATGTGTTAAAACTTGAGACAATTATTATTATTTACTGTATAATTCAACATGATATATTACATAAATCTTCTTAATATTATTTTAAAACAGTATACTGATCGTTTGTTAACTACCAGTGATACTTTATTGTTTACATCCAAACGTGAAATGCGCGGGGATGTGAGAATTACTCCACAACCTAGCGCACGTGAACAGTGAGCGTGCTGCACGACCCGTGCACGTAAATAAACCCTGGCCAACACAATGCAAGGTTCACTACCACTGGCCAAAAGTAAGCTCCACCCACTTCTTATTGATTTTTGGTATGCCAACGCTGCTACTGGATTCAGGAACCTGTCCTAACCTGTGCGTCCGAACATCCCATGCACGTAATTCTTGAATACCAACTAAAGTTTGGCCGTACCCTGCTTTTATCATTATGTTAGCAAGCATACATTAAGACAATGATACGAGTAGAAGCGCTCCGGATAGTTACCGAGTCACAGTGTGTTCACATGTACACGATCGTCAGAGACCACGGAGGTATTCTTACCACCCCCCCAAAAAAATTCCTCCTCGAATTTACACTGATCTCAGAAATGGTCTCTGGAGTTATAAAATGGGCGGAAATCCGCCGAACGGCGGAAAAGTCTCGTGCCTGTAACTCGTTCGTACACTCAGGATACCACTGCCACAATGCTAGCAATATTTGTAAAGTGGGCGGAGCTCCGGGGAAATGTAGCAAATGGCAATTGTTAAACAGCGTATGATTTCAAAGACCTAACTAGGCACACAATCTGTGTACTATTTCGTATTACTATTTTATAAAATTTTCCATAAAGTAATGGTCCGATTTTTCTTATGTTTGGAACTTATAGTGGAAACGCCTAAGACCACACGGAAATGGAACCACGGCAAAATCAAAAGCTTCGCTCTCGCCCCCCATCTGTACGACCCCCCCATGTAAGTCATGGGTTCCTCCCACGTCCCAAATGTCTGCCCTCTGTGTCCCCCACTAAAATTGCGGACTGTTCGCTGGCAGCTATGAATCCGTGCGCCAACCTATGCATTCGGCGCACAGATCCATGCCAGCGCTGCATACTGTCGTAGGACGTTCCTGCAGTCGCGTGCGTCTTGCCGCGGAACTGCGCGCAAGATCTGCGCTCAGCGCTTCGGATCAACACCTTTCGACAACGCTTCTCTAGTATCCCGTCTCATCTGGATTTGGCGGGAACTAGTCACAATCATGGCGGACGGAGGTGGAGCTGGAGTGGTACTCGTCGTAGGTAATACCATGTAATACCATGAATACAGGGGCCCCCCTTAAAATTAGCTTTGGACGCACGTAAAATAAGTGTGGGTAATGGAGCTATGTGCATCTTGCCCACACTTATAAGTGCCGCTCGCCGTGCCAGTTGATTCCATTCCGGTTTTTAGAAAGTACCACTTAAAATAAGTTTGGGCAAGGAAATTTTTTTAGCTTTGGACGCACTATTTAAAATAAGTGTGGGCAATGGAGCTATGTTAGAGCCTCAAGTTTTCTGCTTTATAAATGTTAAATTCTGCTCTCTTCTGCTTTACAAATCTCAAATTCTGCTTTCTTCTGCTTTCTAAATTTCGCCATTCTAAATTTCACCAAAAGCTTAAAAAAGCCTTAATTTTTTTTATTTGTACGCAAGAGACCCGCGTGAACCCGGCACCGTATTTATCGATCCCAAGCGGCCAGCGTAGAAAATCGCAGTGTGTCCTAGGCTTCTAGTCCGTTAATTTTTACATATTTTTTCAATACTGAGTTTTCCGCTTTCTCCTCCCGTTCCGCGATTTCCGGGAAACTTCGGGGACTAAGCTATGTGCATCTTGGACACACTTATAAGTGCCGCTCGCCGTGCCAGTTGATTCCAATCCGGATTTCTAAAAAGTACCACTTAAAATAAGTTTGGGCAAGGAAATTTTTTTAGCTTTGGAGGCCACTTAAAATAAGTGTGGGCAATGGAGCTATGTTCGGCCCAAGGATAGAGAACATGGGTCTCAATAAAACCAATGTGCCTAACCCTAACCCTAATTCTAACCCTAACCCTAACCCTAACCCTAATCCTAACCCTAACCCTAACCTATTATATTGATATAATATTATATTTATATTGATGTAAATGACATTGTCATCGGTTTTATTGGGACCCATGTTCTCTATCCTTGAACCCTATGTTCATCTTGGACACACTTATAAGTGCGGCTAACGCGAAATTCGATCAATTTTTGTGTTTGGACGCACTTAAATAAGTGCCAATAACATCAGCCATAATGAAATAGGCCTAATGAATATTGACAGTATGGCTCAAGGGGTCGTTGTCGTAACAGGTACTACAGATATGTTACGCCGAGGTACATATATGTATACACAAAAGTGTACAGACTTTGTACTACAGAAGTGTACCCTAACCCTAACACTAACCCTAACCTAAACATACCTCATATAAAAATATAAACATAATAGTAAACAACCTAAAACTACCTCGGGTAATTCTGTAGTACCTGATACGACAACGACCCTTCGTCGCGACAGTATGGCAGATAACGGTCTATGTCCCCCTGACCTCTGTTTGACGCTGGCTGCGTTTAGCTATTTTCTGACTAATATATATATATATATAATAATAATAATATTATAGGTTTTAGGGTTAGGATTAGGATTAGGGTTAGGGTTAGGGTTAGGGTTAGTCAGAATACGCTGAACGAGCGCAGGTCAAACAGAGGTCAGGGGACATAGACCGCTACGAGGCGACCGTCATGGGTACTATCTAAGTAATCAGTGACAGTATCAGACAAGACAAGACAAGACAAGAGTCAAGACAAGACAAGAGTGTGGTGTCGCACACATCTATAAACCCCTTAGCTGCTAGTACTATAGCCGCGCGGATCGCTGCCGCAGGGCTATAGCACATTCTGCCATAGATGTAATCTAAGCAAATGGTCCAACTGATGTGACGAAAAAATTTATCGCCCAAAACGTAAAATGATCGGCTTGTTTAACACTTATCTATCAACATGGCTGGACATCTTCACCTATTATTTTGAAACACTTCGCACAACTTTACACCAGGTATTTATGCTGTTATTCCTCAAAGTCAGCACTTATTGAACATACATTTCAAAACATATGGGCGTGCACACGCGTAATGTCACCGGATATGTAGGCAAAACGCAGCAGGCTATGGTGCATCATAGGCAGGGTTCTCCCCACGTTGCGCAAAACCGGTGCGTCGCCCGGCCGCGTTTGGAAAACTCCCCCCCCCCGTTTGAATACGTTGCGCCCGCGTTTGAATACCCTTTCCGCCGCGTTTGGAAAATTCCACCACCAGATAAAAAGTTTGACAGCGCGGGGAATCCGAATCGTCAAGAAGTACAATTCGAGCCAGGATCACCGCGGCGGCGTGTATTTTTAGCAGTACCAGTACGCATGCAGCTGCAGGACAATACAACAGTCACAACCTGTCTCACACCCAACACTAACTGTACACCGACTCGGCTATATCTTATTATATACAAGAACCCCAATACCGGTCTATGGTGTGGTGGGATTTTACCGGCCTTAATTAGTGGTAGCGGTAAAAAACACCGGCCCCCCCCCTTAGTTCCCGCTTCCCCTCCCCCTCCCTCCCCCCTGTTTGAAATTTCATCCTGGGGAGAACCCTGATAGGGTGCATGTATTATTAACGGGGGTGGTGGGTAAACTCGCCCTGATGCGGCAATGTGCGCACAATTGGGAGCACAAGCGGGAACACCCCCCGTTAATAATACATGCATAGCCGAAGCTCAGGCTAGCTGCTTGCGTTTTGCCAACATATCCGGTGACATTACGCGTGCGCACGCCATATGATTTCAAATGTAATTTCAATAAGTGCTGACTTTGAAGATAAATGCATAATACCTGTGTGTAAAGTTGCTTGGAAAGTGTTCAAAAAGATAGGTGAGATGTCCATGTTGATAGATAAGTGTTAAAAGCGCCGATCATTTTACGTTTTGGGGATAAATTTTTGGTCACATCAGTTGACGCATTTGCTTAAGTACATCTATGGGCAGAATGTGCTATAGCCCTGCGGGCAGCGATCCGGCGGGCTATAGCTACTAGAGCTATAACCCGCTGAGCTTATACGCTCGTAGGGTCTATGTCCCCTGATGCTGTTTGACTCGCTCGGTTTAGCTATTTCTGACTAACGCCTAACCTAAGCCTATCTAACCTAACCGCTAACCCTAACCCTATATATATTATATATTTTAATATATATATATAGTCAGAAATAGCTAAACGAGCGAGGTCAAACAGAGGTCAAGGGACATAGACCTTATCTGCTGAGCTTACAGTATGGCTTTAGGCTCTAGTACTATAGCCCGCGTTACATACATTGTTCATACAGGAAGACTGAAATTTTTTTCAGGACTTTTCAAGGACTATTTTATCAGAAATTCAAGGACATTTTATCAGACTTCATACACAGAACAAAACATACCTGGATTAATTTAATAACGCCCATTCTTAATCACTGCATGTCACTCTAAAACTTACTGGATCCACATTAATAAACCGCTTCTAAACACGGTCACTTCTATAACATACCTTGATTTACTGACTGATTTTTAGTGAGCTTACTGTAATTTGTTGATCATAATTTAAACTGTCTATCATGTCTATAGCTTTTTAGGCTCATTTAATGCAATTTTTTATTGAGGTTTGCACACTAGGAGCCTATTGATGGTACAAAATTTTTTTTATTACAGGCAAGGATTCTTTCTAAAAATTCAAGGACATTTTCATGAAATTCAAGGACATTTTGCATGAAATTCAAGGACTTTTCAAAGCACAAAATCAACATTTACTAAATTCAAGTACTTTTCAAGGACTCCCTCAAATTCAAGGACTTTCAAGGACTGTGCGAACCACAGGCACTTGAAAGCGTTTCAGCTGTAAACATACGCCGCCGCCATTGTGGCGCACACTACACATGAATATAGAGTGTATTACTCTATATTCATGTGTAGTGTGCGCACAAGTAATGGGCGGCGAGCGTATGTTTACAGCTGAAACGCTTCAAGTGCTGTGGTGGGCGAACCATGGTAAGGCAGACTATAGTACTAGAGCTAGTATGGCTTATGCTTTTAAAACACACAGAAGAAAGTCAGAAGCAATAGCAAAACGTTTCAGACTTACCATAATGTTATATTGGATGTCACTACAATTGTATACACGATTTGTAAACACAAATTGTAAACACGATTCCTTGCTCTTCGGTCTTTCCTTCACTAGCTGGCGGCAACTACTAGTTCGTATACGCTACTCGTGGCTAAACCCATACTACGGCGGTCAGTATTGGTGTCACTATCAGTATCGGTATGCACTATATCACTATCAGTATTGGTATCAGTATCAGTATTGGTGTCACTACTTGAGCATTATACAAATATAGGTATGACGCGCAACCAAGGGCGTGATGCTACGAGAGAAGTGAATATTATAGATGGGATTTTACCATGCACACGTGCTGTCAGCCCGCCCGGCTCTACCTTGAACGTATAAAAACGGCCGAAGAAAATTATCTTAGCAGTCAAAGGCGACCGACGTCCGAGGCCCAATTCCCCATATATAAATATAGACATAATACGCGGAAACCAAGGCGTGATGCTACGGAAAAAAGTGAATATTATAAATTGGATTTTATCATGCACTGTGCTGGCAGCCCGGTCTACTGATAACACCAGGAGTAAGATAATATAAGATATATATATTATATATATTATATATTATTATATATATTATCTTATATATCATTCTTTTTTTTATTTTTTTTTTTTTTTTTTATTTTTTTTATTATTTATTTATTTTTTTTATTTTTTTTTTTGTATAGTTTTTTTTATTTTATTAGTTTTTTATTTTTTTTTTTTATTTATTTTTTTATTTTTTATTTTTGTTTTTTTTTTTTCTTTATGATTTTATTTTTTTTTTTGTTTTATTTTTTTTTTATATATTTTTATTTTTTTTTTGTATTATTATTTTTATTTTATATTTTTTATTTTTTTTTTATATTTCTATTTTTTTTTTTTTTTTATTTTTATTTATTTTTTTTTTTTGTTATTTATTTATTTTTGTATGATTTTTTTTTTTTTGATTTTTATTATTTTTTTTTATTTTTTATTTTTTGTTTTTTTTTACATTTTTTAAATATTTTTATTTATTTTATTGATATTGATATTTATTATTTTTATTATTTTTTTACTTTTTTTATTATTTTTTTTTTTATTTTTTTGATTTATTTTTTTTTGTTTTTATTATTATATTTTTTATTTTTACTGCCTGATAACAACTTTATACAGATAAATCTCGTGCTGATTATTACGCTTTGATATATCTAAATGCATTTTCCTCTCAAAATATAACTCCTCTGGTGAGATATTGCGCATGCGCTAAAGCAGTAACGTAGCCAGGTTATGTACTGACTGGTATATGCAGCGGTGACCTTACATGCAAGGTCTGCTTCCGATTTTTGAAATAAGGTCTACTGATACAATTTTCTCATATAAATATATGATAGAATAACCCCTCTTCATTTTAAATTTATAATTTTTGCAAAATAACTTTCTTCTCTGGAAATATTGCGCATGCGCGAGCACCGTTTCAGGTGTGCAGTACGGCCTAAATAAAAGTACGTAATATAGCTTGCTGAGTGAGAGAGGGGTCGGAGACTGACGGAAGGTGGCAGGGAAGACAGCCGAGGGGCGGTGGGAGAAGAAGGAGGCTGAGCGTGCGACACGGGAGACAAGGGGAAGGGCGGGCGGAGATGAAGTAGTAGTTTTGCACCCTAATGGCTAGGGCGCTTTCCTAATTATAAACACAGGTCTACTGATAAGAATTTATTACAGAAAGCTATGCTGAGATACTCACTGACCATACTAAATGCATTTTCATCAGTAGAGCTGTGTTTATAATTAGGAGAGCGCCCTAGCATGCAGGGTACAAAACACCTACTTTATGCCCTCGCGTCCTTCCCCTTGCCTCCTCTGTCCCTCGCTCAGCCTCCTTCTTCTTCTACCGCCCCCAGCTATTTTTCCTGCCGCATTTCCTCAGTCTTCCATCCCCTCTCCCTCTCAGCAAGCTATATTAAGAAGTTTGCCTCAGACGGCACTGCACGCCTAACACGGTGCTCGCGCATGCGCAATATCTCCCGAGAGCAATCGTATTTTGCAAAGATTATGCTTTTAAAATAAAGAGGAGTTACCCTAGCATAGATTTACATGATAACATTCCATCTGTAGATATCATTTAAGAAATAGGAGGAAGAACTTGCATGTAAGGTCCCTGCTGCGTATACCAGCCAGTACACAATCTGGCTACGTTAGTGTGTTAGCGCATGCGCAATGTCTCACCAGAGGAGTTATATTTGTGACGGATAGGCATTTGATATGGTTATGGGGTAGCTCAGCATAGATTTCTTTAATAAACATTTATCAGTAGACCTGGGTTTATAATTCAGGAGAGCGCGTTAGCCTGTAGGGCGCAAAACTCCTCACCATCCTCCCCACCATCACCTATCTTCCCTTCCTCAGTCTCCCACTCCTTTCTCTCTCAGCAAGCAATCCAGCAACACGCACGCACGCACACACACACACACACACACAACACAAACACGCACACGCACACGCACACGCACACGCACACACACACACACAA